GAAGTTATGAGACTATAACAAGGCTGAAATTTGCAGGACCTTTCCTGTCAGGTTCTGTAAAATCAAAGTCAATAACAAGCAGTGGCCGAGAAGCATTGGGCCCAGCGGTGCCGTTAGGACGAGGTTAGAACAGACCTACAGCTCTCCAGTGGAAATGTCGTGCTCTGAGCTGCCAAGTGCTGAACCAGCATTTTCATAGGAAAACATCTGTAAGAAAAGCAGTTCAGTTTTGTTCTCTACTTCACCTCTGAAAGACTTAACAGGTAGAAAGGCCTTTGCACAGAAGAATGAAAGAACAATGGAATGTTATGCCTTTTCTCAGGTTCAACGCATTTAACTACATCACATCCTAGTATCATACATATCAGTATCATAAAACAAACATTCATTTACAAACACACTGCTTCCAAGAATCCAACGTAAAGCTAACAGATGTTACTCAGAGAATCAAATTTATATACATCTATTACTATAGGTCAAAGAGATTCCCATGTTCGTGCTTTATTCCCCCAATACCAAATACAGATACTTGTTCTTGAAACCTCAGATAATGGAAACCACATTCTCTCTAGGCTACCTGTTTCAAAGCTTTACCATCCTTATTGTTAGAAGTTTTTTTATGATGTATAACCTCAATCCTCCTTGCTGCAATTCAAGTCTGTTTTTCACTGATCTCCCTGTGAAAGACTGAATATATTCTCTACCTCTTTGCACCAGCCTTTTAGATATTTGAAAGCTGTTATCATGACACCTTAGTCTTACCTTCTCTGTATTTAAAAAAAAAAAATCCATTTCCACCAACATTTTCTTTTTAGTCTTTTTTTTTTTTTTCCCCCCCCTCAATGAGACTTCTGAGGACTCTCATCATTTTTCTCCTAACTGTCCTAAATTGGTCCATAACCTTTTTGACCTTAGGAGGTTCAAGAAGGGCCAAATAATTCCTTCTGCTGTTTAACACAATGTTGCCGTCACACACTCCAGATGGTGTTTGACATCACTGACAAGGTGTTGTTTACCTAAATTCAGCTTAAAATTGACTATTAACCCACACTTTTTTCTTGTATTGCTGGTGCCTAAGGAGTCATTACCTATCCTGTGCTTGTACAGTTAATTTTTCCTATCTAAATACAGAAGTTTAAATCTGTCCTTTCTACATAGCAGCCTAGCTAAACTTATTTAATTTTTCCCAGTGTTTCAGTAACAGAACAACTAGAATGATCTTATGTTCACAGAATTCAAACCTTGCCTCCCAAAAATCCTTGTATGTTTTCTAATGTTGTCACCTGAAAACTGAATAAGCAGTCTCTATCCTTCGTTCCAAGTATTTAATGAAAATACAGCATAGTAACTGGGCTGAAGTCAGGTTCCGAAAAAGGCCCACTTGATGTATCTGTCAATTCTGGCAGATTTTCTAATGTGTACAAATACAGACATCTAAGGCTTCTCTTCTATCTACCAGAACTGTTAAACTGTCAGAATAGAGAATTTAATTCATATGACACTGCTTTATCTGGATTAACCTTTATTTCTTGATAACAGTTATTACACATACTTGTAATCTTCTAATTGCTTGCAAAGAATTGATTTATTTGTTCCAATGCTTTTCAAGAAAAATGAGTTAAACTAACAACCTTGTAATGCCAAGATTCTTCCTCCTTCCCCTGTTTTACAGATGGCATTATGTTTGCCCTTTCCACTCAGGTTTTGCTGAGTTTTGTGGCACTGAAGACCATCCAGTTTCAAAAAAACTTGGTAATTTCTTGTCTATATGTCTCTGGAGTCTCAGTCTGGTAGGTGTTCTCAAAGTACTAGTAACATTTACCACCACCATAAAAACCCGCACAAAAATGCAGTTGTGACAGAGTAGAAGATTGATGTCCAACATCTTCCTCTACCTGAAAGGATTCAGATCCACATCTCCTATCAAAGGGCCTGGAACTATGAGATTACCACAGAGGAAGATAGAGCAGGGAGGAGCAGTGATTATGAAGCCTTAAGTCCCTGCTTACAAGACCACTCATATTTTATAGTAAATAGTCTTTAATTAATACAGAAGCTGTCAGAAGGAATCCTGTGTCTTCCTTCCTCACCACTTGCTTTCTCTCTTGCTTCTTGTGCCCCCATGCTCCACACAACAGGACAGTTTCAACAGGAGTGGAGAGTCACATTGCTGTTGTGCTGATGACAAAATGGAATTGGTCTCTTAAGCAAATGCACCACTAACATAAGACATGAGTATCTTCAGAAGATTCCTCTAAACTACAGTTAGAAGACCACTGTCTGATTCAAGGCTTATTTTCCTTGCTTTTCTCCTATTAGTCTGTGCAAAGGAACTGACAAGTGAAAATGTACTTCATAAACTCCTCCTGCGCAAATACTTGATACTTCATTTGGGACAATTAGCTCTTTCTATTACCTTAGTCTGCCTATGGAGCACCCATCAGTATGGCCTCTGTGACAGAGACGAGGAGATTTAACTCAATGTGCTAGAGCTCAAATCTCACACCCTCATCCTTTCTGCACCTGGCCCCACTTCCACTGAGCAGGCTGCTGCTGCAGCTACAGCAGTGTTATTTCAGACTAAGCAAGGCATCCAGACATGTGGTTATTGCACTGGCCAAACTCAATGAGTGCAAATATTTCAATGTATGGTAGCCTGCTTAAGCATTTTCTTAGCAATCCTGTTATTGATTCTTCCCATGATTCCTGACAGTTCTTTCATTTACAGTAATGAAGACTAGCTACTTAAAGGATCCTAAAAGTTCAAGTTCTTCCTATAGTGTGGGTGTCTAACAAGGTTTCACATGTCTAAATTATTATAATTGAAAATGTTTTAAAATATCAATTATTAGACATATATATTCTTAGAGTTAATGCTAATATTTAGCAAATCCCTTTAGAACAGTATTTTCTATTTCACCCCAGTGTATTAGATTCATTGAAGTCAGCAGAACTGAAATCACCTTGCTAGAAAAAGCAAGAGAAGCCATGCACTTAAAAGTAAAGGCTTTTACTTTGTGTACCTAAAAACATTTCTTCCAGAATGCTTACTTGATCCTTAGAAAAACCTTGAGAACAGAGACTGTATTAATTTCCTAATCCATAAAAATACCTCGCTCATACACACAAACCAGTGATCGCATTTAACAAGCCTTGCCTAAAAAGTGGTTATACCTCCCAAAAAACACCTTTTGATGTTATCTCTCTACAGTATTTTTAATTTGCTTCCTAACAGTGACAAAAAACCCCTGCATTCAACACAGCAATTTTCTGAACACCAGTCATCCTCCATGCTAGATTGCTTTAAATCTTAAAAAACCTCAAAACAACGAAAAGCACGATTGCACTTATTGAAACAAAAGTATGTGGAAATTATACAAGGTTCCCTGCTTCAGGATGGACAGAATTAGTACAGGCAGAACAAGGAAAACAGGTAATATAAACATTGAATTTATTGTAACTAAGAAAACAGTAAAAATGGCTATATGATAAGGTACAAAGCATCAGTAACCGATTAGAAAAGATGCTTGCAAAAGACACTATCCTGATGGTCACGGAACCACATTACAGGAGAATGTCTGTGGGTGTTCCCTTTATATCTCTGTGATTTAGCAGCAGTAAAAATGAATACAAATAAAGGAATAAGAATCTTCTTCCAACTTTGGTTTAGTTGCACATGGCCTCCTCTGTCACTCAATCTAATCAACTGGCTTTTAGTATTAGTAAAAGGGGAGGTCCTGACAGACTGGAAATTGGCAATATGACATCTATCCATAGGAAGGGTCAGAAGGATGATCTGGGAAATTAGAGGCCTGTCAGTTTGACTTTGGTGCCTGCGAAGCTGAATGGAGCAGCTCATCCCACGTACCATCACACAACACATGCGGGACAACCAGATTGTCAGGCCCAGTCAGCATGGGTTTATGAAAGGCAGGTCCTGCCTGACAAACCTGATCTTATATGACAGAGCGACCTGCTTATTGGATGAGGGAAAGGCTGTGGATGTTCTCTAGCTTGACTTCAGTAAGGCCTTTGACACCGTTTCCACAGCATTCTCCTGGTGAAACTGGCTGCTCACGGCTTGGATGGGCACACGCTTTGCTGGGTAAAAAACTGTCTGGATGGTCAGGCCCAAAGAGTTGTGGTGAACGGAGTTAAATCCAGTTGGCGGCCGGTCACGAGTGGTGTCCCCCAGGGCTCGGTGTTGGGGCCACTCCTGTTTAACATCTTTATTGATGATCTGACGAGGGGATCGAGTGCACCCTCAGTCAGTTTGCAGATGACACCCAGTTGGGTGGGAGTGTTGATCTGCTCGAGGGCAGGGAGGCTGCAGAGAGACCTGGACAGGCTGGAGCCATGGGCTGAGCCCAACTGGAGGAGTTTCACTAAGGCCAAATGCCGGGGGCTGCCCTTGGGCCACAACAACCCCCAGCAGCGCTACAGGCTTGGGGAGGAGTGGCTGGAGAGCTGCCAGTCAGAGAGGGACCTGGGGGGTTGATTGACAGCTGGCTGAACAGGAGCCAGCAGTGTGCCCAGGGGGCCAAGAAGGCCAATGGCATCCTGGCTTGTGTCAGCAATAGCGTGGCCAGCAGGGACAGGGAAGGGATCTGACCCCTGTACTCAGCACTGGTGAGGCCGCCCCTCGATTCCTGTGTTCAGTTTTGGGCCCCTCACTACAAAAAGGACATTGAATGACTCGAGCGTGTCCAGAGAAGGGCAACGGAGCTGGTGCAGGGTCTGGAGCACAGGTTGTACGGGGTGGCTGAGGGAACTGGGGGAGTTTAGTCTGGAGAAGAGGAGGCTGAGGGGAGACCTCATCGCCCTCTACAGCTGCCTGAAAGGAGGGTGCACAGAGCTGGGGATGAGTCTCTTTAACCAAGTAGTAAGTGATAGGACAAGAGGGAATGGCCTCAAATTGTGCCAGGGAAGGTTTAGACTAGATATTAAGAAGCATTTCTTTCCAGAAGGGGTTGTTGGGCTTTGGAATGGGCTGCCCAGGGAGGTGGTGGAGTCCCCATGCTTGGAGGTGCTTAAGAGTTGGGTCGACACAGTGCTGAGGGATCTGGTGTAGTTGGGAACTGTCAGTGATAGGTTAACGGTTTGAGTAGATGATCTTCAATATCCTTTCCAACCTAGATGATTCTGTGATTTTGTAAAAGCTTATTGTGGATCGCTTTTGCATGTTGGCAGGTTTATTCAAAGTGTACTACAGTAGCACCTTTGAAGCAAGAAGCTGACAATCTTTTTGGAAGTAACCATGAGATATATATAGCTACATAGTTTATAAATCCAGGCCAATTATAACTACTTTAGGCTGCTTTATCCATTCGTCTTTGAAGTGTATTCTAAAAACCTTTAGCAGCAATTTAACAAAAAGTAAGTTTTCTCTTAAATTAAGTGCTCAGACTGAGCATATCTTCAACACCCAACAGCACAGGAACACAGTCTTGTCTTTGAATTCCACACACAGAGCAACACTTCTGAGCACAGCAAGAAAGTCCCAAACCTGAGAAGAACACTATCTTCATAATGCAATGGACAAACAAGTGACCACATTTGTTTTGCAGAATATAGACATGCATATTGACATATACACACACGAGTTCCTCAACTTTTCTGCAGTTCCTTTAAAATGCTGAAGTTAACTCAGGTTCACCATCATTTCATTCATAACACACAGGGTTTTTTGGGAATAAAAAAACCCCAACAAAATTAAACAAAACCCAACCAAAACCAAAACCAAAACAACACAAAAAAACTCTAGACCCACAAACCAAGAAACCCCCAACCACCCTGGGAGCAGTAATGTCAGCAAATCCCGGTTTATGTACTGCCTGATCCCACACAGCATGCTCAGTACTCCAGATAGAAAGCTGGCAACAGCCCCATTTAAGTCAAGGGAACTGGTAACACACCTGGAGTTGAGCTGATGACTAGGCACTATGCTGGAGTGAGGCCTTAGTCCCTCAAAATGTTATGAAAATCAATCAGGTATAAGTAGAATCAAGGGTAGCTCTGGCCTCAGGGCAGATCCTGACCAAGTGGGTTTGAATCCATTAATTTCCTTCCACTCTAATACAACAGAGTCTAAAATTCAGAGCAAACTAATTTCTCTTTAAACAAAGGCCTACAGGACTTGCATCAACCTTACACTGAAACAGAACTCTAGGTGCATAAAATGATCCAAGAAGACCCTTCCACTCAATCACTTTAAGTTCTCTGCTAACAGAAATATTGTCCACGAAACAACAGGCTGCATGCAAGGGGTTACTCAGCTCCAAAGCCAGCTTTCACTGAATGGGAAAAGTCACTGCCTTCAGTTAAGTGCAGTAACCCACTGGAGGTCAACAAAAAAGTCTCTGATATAAATGTTGAGTACCTCTGAGCAGCTAAAACACACAGTCATATTTCCTAAATTTACACAAAGCAATTATCATAGAAGCAACTTTCATTTAAAAAGATAGTTTACATTCCTACATTCTTAACCTCCTTCTCCCTGGAGAGAACAACTCAGCCTTTTCCACTCCATCCACAAGTACCAAAATACCTTCTCCCAGTGATCTAGTTGGTATCAACATAACTAAATCCCAGAAAACTTTTCTTTTTGAAAAATAAAACTAATTTTACACTGTCTATTAAATGTATCGAAGGAAAAAAAAAAACAAAAACAAACAAACAAAAAAAAACCCCCACAACCAAAAAAACCCCAAACAGATCTATGGTCTGACTAACCAGAATTTTTCCTTTCTTCTTCTTATGAATAATGTTGAAAATGCTACAGTAAATTCAAATACCAGAATCTATCAAAAACTCCTTGCTTGAAGAGGTTTGATTTTTAAGGGAAAGAAATCCATGGAGATCTGACTTATTAATGGTTTATTAAAAATTAATTAATGCCAAGAGCACATTATTTAGGAAAATATAATGATTTCAGTGAAGATAAAATAATCTTATGAAGAAAAATATGGTAAAACATATTTATGGGATTCATATTAAAAATGTATTGTCTAGAAACACAACAAATGAAATGTTAACATGGTAATGAAACAGCACTTTTATATTCATATATATATAATCTCCACAGTTATTTTGAAGTTAAGCAAATTTCAGAAGTATTTGTTTTGCTGAGACTTGATCACTTAAGCCCAATAATTTTCATACGATGAAAAGAAACTGTTCAGCAATCCTTTACATAACCCCACAGTGCTCCTACACTTAATAGAATTTCCTTAATGAGATTAACACAATGTTACTAAAGGAACTGGGATTTGAATTCCAGTCCTTCCATATTTCTTTTGTGAATCTAAGTAAATAATTTTCTTAAAGTAATAATAGCTTTCTAAAAGAAGTTTTAAGGATAGAGTTTTGCAAAATGTAAGTCTCTCAGGTATGATTAAAATGCATATAGAGATATAGGTATACACAGTATATTAAGAAATAGATACAGATGTTAGTATAGTTCTATCAGAAGAAAAATAGGGCTTAAAAAGGAAGTTACAGAGTAGATCACATCCTTTTAACAACAATATTCAATTATGTTGCTGAACTACGTTTACCAAGAATATTTGCTTTCTCACAGAATCATCTAGGTTGGAAAAGACCTTTAAGTTCATCCATTCCAACCATTAACTTAACACTGACAGTTCCCAACTACACCAGATCCCTCATCGCTATGTCAACTCTACTCTTAAACACCTCCAGGGATGGTCCCCCCTCAGCCTCCTCTTCTCCAGACTAAACCCCCCCAGTTCCTCAGCCGCTCCCCGTACGACCTGTGCTCCAGAGCCTGCACCAGCTCCGTTGCCCTTCTCTGGACACGCTCGAGTCATTCAATGTCCTTTTTGTAGTGAGGGGCCCAAAACTGAACACAGGAATCGAGGGGCGGCCTCACCAGTGCCGAGTACAGGGGTCAGATCCCTTCCCTGTCCCTGCTGGCCACGCTATTGCTGACACAAGCCAGGATGCCATTGGCCTTCTTGGCCCCCTGGGCACACTGCTGGCTCCTGTTCAGCCAGCTGTCAATCAACACCCCCAGGTCCCTCTCTGACTGGCAGCTCTCCAGCCACTCCTCCCCAAGCCTGTAGCACTGCTGGGGGTTGTTGTGGCCCAAGGGCAGCCCCCGGCATTTGGCCTTAGTGAAACTCCTCCAGTTGGGCTCAGCCCATGGCTCCAGCCTGTCCAGGTCTCTCTGCAGCCTCCCTGCCCTCGAGCAGATCAACACTCCCACCCAACTGGGTGTCATCTGCAAACTGACTGAGGGTGCACTCGATCCCCTTGTCAGATCATCAATAAAGATGTGAAACAGGAGTGGCCCATTCATTCATTTCATTCGCATTGTTACACAGAGAGGAAAATGGCCTTATTACAGAACTTCTATTCTGATCTTTTCAAATGATTAATTAAATGATATTTTGCCCACTTAAATGATAAAACATCATTTAATACAAGGAAAAGCTTACAGCTAGGTAGAGCAGATGTATCAGCTGTAATGCCAAAATTGAAGTTTTAGCCAGTTGTGACATAAGATAGCTTTAACATTTTATATAAAACCTTTGCACTTTTCTCAAACAGGTATGATGTCCCTTTTCTTCTGCATGGACTCTTTAATCCAAATAATTAGACAGAAATATCACGCCTTAAGTCTAAAAATGGGCAGCGAAAATCATCAAGAAAAGTAGAAAATTCAGTGATCTGCCATGTTTTTTTATTCAGCCACAATTTATTTTAAACTTTAGCAAGACTGAGGCATGCCTCACGTATTGCAACATCATTACATTTTCAAGGTAGCTCTGCCCATGTAGTCACATTATAACTTTTTTCCTGATCTGCTGCTGCACTAATTTCCAAATACTTACAGTACTTCTCAGGTTGGTGTCATCTACAGATTTAATAAGCACATTCTTGACACACGCTTCCTTTTGACAGTGAAATATTAATAACACTCCCCTATTATAGCTTTTTCAACAGTTTTCTATCCACCTACAATAATTTCTTCTGCTGAAGCCAAAACATACGACATCTACTGCCTGTCCTTTACCCACAAGACCTGTTATTCTACGAGAGATTAAAATTAAATTGGTTTGACACATTTTGTTCTTGGCAAATGTATGTTTACCATCACTCATCTCCTTCATTTTTCTGGGTGCTAACAGGTACCTTTAATGACTTCTTCCAGTATTTTTCCAGGAATTGAAGTCAACTATGGAATAAATCTCACTGAATTGCTGAAGTTCTGTGTAGAATGGATATATCAGCTATTAATTTTAAATGAAGAACGCTTCTAAATGTTTAGTTCATTCAATTTTCATGCAACCTAAAATACCTGGCTTCTTAATCCCAGACTATTTTCTTAGAAATACAGTTGAGACATTTGAAGAGTTGGAGAAAATGACCTTATTCAAATCCTTCACTTATTTAAGCATAATAAAAACATAACATTCAAAAAACAATTTTCAGAGACACAGGTTTCAGCATGCTGCAGCCAATTATTTGATTAATTTTTTAATGGATTGATTGTATTGAGTTCTCAATTACCATGAATTTCACTAAACCCAGCACAGTTTTTGAATGTACTAATACTAAAGACATGCATATTTTCTGCCCTACAGCAGACCAAACAGCTGTTACCACACCACGGCTTTGAACAGAGGTGTAATTAGCACAAAAAGTATCTCAGGCGATATGTTTTGCATCAGTTGTAATCACTTATCGTTTATGAGAGACAATGCTCACCTTGCTTTATTTACAAGATCTGTAAAAGCTGTACTAAAGAGATGTCAGCAGTGAGGCAAATCACTTTCCCCCCAATACTTAAAAACAAAATTAAGCACTAAACCCCCCAAAATACTCTGTTCCTTAGAAGTTTAAGATACTAAACCAGGGACATAAGAAGAATGAACAGACAGTTTTTCATTTCCTTCTTTATGACCTCCTTCATCAGCAAGGCACCTAACTGCATGCTTGACAGAGAACGTTTAACACGTGCTCTACTTTAACTTACAGCAAGGCCCTTCATACTACATTGGCCAAAATGCTGCTGTAACTTGTTCTGATATTATTATATCATCACTTCAAGTGAAGAAAATAAAGTAAATCTGGAGAACTTGAACTATTAGATTGTTCACAAAAGCACCAAGTTTTAATGTTAAATGGCATAACC